TTTTGTACGGGGGATGCGGAGGGAGGGGGAGGGAGGCGGGGGGCAGGAGGAGGGGGACGGCGACGGAGACACACACGCCTTGTCTCATCAAAGAGCGTCCCGAGGGACTTTCTCTTTGCAGTGCCCGGCGAGAAGCGGCCAGCGTCAGTCTCTCAGAGCGCCAGTCGGGGCTTCCCTGCTGGCCTCTGAGGGCACGGGGAGGCATCGCCGACGCCACCCCTCCGCCTACTCCCATCATCGCCCATTCACGTCGACCTATCGGGGGGCCATCATGGTCGCTGTCGCCGTTGTCGCCGCCGTCGCCGTCGTCGTCGTCGGCGGCGTCGTCGTCGTCGCCGTTGTCGTCCTCGGCGTCGTCGTCGTCGTCGGAAAGTGAAACTAAAATGTATCAACGATGCTGCCATGCACCCGCACGCCCCAATGGTCCTCCCTATGAATTTTAGCAGGCATTCTGCTTCACTGCGCGAGCCCCCGCCTTGAAAGACAGAGCGCGCTGGACTCGCAATTCAGGCGGGAGCCCCGTTTTGAAAAGGAACTGTCCGTCATCCTTCAAGCTTCAGTATCTGTGACAAGTGGTAGCCGATAGTGGCCGTGAGAACTCAGCGACAACCCCGCTTTGAGAGTGAGCGTCCCTTCGTCATTGCACTTGTTGCAGGCGTTCAAACCTCTTGGCGGGCGCGACGCCAACACGAATACCCCATTCTGAAAACGGCTCGCCCTCAGTTCGTGCTCTTTGGCTTGTTTTTCATGCCATGCGTAGCTGTTGCGACGGCACCACCGGGGGCCCCGGGCCCCGCCCACTCCGGCCGCCTGAGGCCCCGCCCGCCTGTGCCCATGTCTCCCTAATTGAAGCTGTGCGTAGCCCGCCTAGCTTTTAGCGGAAGAGGCTCGCCCTCGCCCCGCCGACCGAAAATGCGTGGCTGCTGCGATGTCTGCCGTGCGGCTCGAGCAGCTCGCGGCGCCGAGGCGGGCGCCCGGGGCGATCCGCCCTCCGTCCGCGCGGCTGCCGGAGCGATTCGCGGGGCGAAGGTGCGCGGCACCGGGGCGAGGGCCCCACTCCGAAGACCACCCGCCTTCATCGGCGCACAACCAAAACGTGTAGTAAGGGTGGGTGGTAAGGACGCAAGACCCTTGGAAACCGGAGCGGGGACTCTTGGGGCGGCGGGCGACCAGTGAAAACGGCAGAGGACAGGCCGCAGGTGCAAGGACACAAGGGCACCCTAGGTGAAGGCGCGCGTCCTTACTAGGCGCGTTGACTGTAGCTGTGCGAACTCTCAGGTCGTAACGCCCGGCCAGCCGAACGGCGCGTCTGGCAGCGCGGCAGGGAGGAGCTGCTGGAACGGAAGAGGGGCGGGGGGAGACGGGGATCGAGGGGGGAGGTGGCTTCGGGGGCTTGGGAGTTCCTCACTTCTCTCTCTCTCTCTCTCTCCATCCCTCCCTCCCGCCCTCCCTGGCCTCTCCCTCCATCCCTCCTTCCTCCCCTTCCTCCCTCCTGAATGCTGAGTCCTGCCTTCTTCCTCCCTCCCTGCCCCCGTCCTTCCCCCCCTCCTTCCCTCCTTCCCTCCTCTCCCTCATCCCTCCTGCTTGTCACTCCTGCTTCCCCCCGTCCCTCCCTCCCTCCCTCCCTCCCTCCCGCCCTCCTCCCTCGATGACGGAAACATCGCCCGCAAGATGCGGTAGTGTCGAGACTCGTCTCCGTCGCCGGCCGCATGTTCCAACCCGCTGGGCATCACGCTTGCGGATGATCCCATTTCAATTCAGAAGGCGCGCCAGAGGGGGGAGGGGGGGCGAGGGCGGCGGGCGGCCTTCCAGGAAGGCAGGAGGCCTGTCAGGAGGGCCCCGCCCTTCCCCATAGGCTTCTGGCAGGACCTCTTGGAGGGAGGAAGGGCTTCTGAGAGGCGGGGTGCGTTGGAGGCGGCACCCCTCGCCCTGCCCCCCCCCCTCGGTTCCGCGCCGCCAAGTCCGTTTCCCTCCTGGCGTCTGCCTTCCTTCCTTCTGCCCGCCTCCCTCTCCTCCTCCTTCCCCTCTCTCCTCCTTCCCCTCCCTCCTCCTCCTTCCCCTCCCTCCTCCTCCTTCCCCTCCCTCCTCCTCCTTCCCCTCCCTCCTCCTCCTTCCCTCCCTCCTCCTTCCCCTCCTCCTTCCCCTCCCTCCAGCACTTCTCGCGACCCTCCTGATGGGAGGCCCCCCCAAGCGCTCACAGCACTTCTGGCCCATGCCTCGAGCCTCGGGCGGCCGCGCGGAGGCGGAGGATGCCCCGTGCTGTTCTGCACCACGCGCGGGCAAGAAGAGGGTGCAGAGAGGGCCAGGAGGGACGCACCGCCCGTGTGGCCGCCACACCGCGGGGCGCGGCCACCCTGCGGCCCCACTCCCCGCCCGCCGGCGGCGGCTGCGAAGAGGGGGCAGGGGTGGGCGGCGGGTGCTCTCTGGAGGTGGAGGACGAGGAGGACGAGGACAACGTGGAGGAGGAGGAGGAGGAGGAGGAGGAGGAGGAGGAGGAGGAGGAGGAGGAGGAGGAGGAGGGACGGGGAGGAGGAGGAGGAGGAGGAGGAGGAGAGGAGGAGGAGGAGGAGGAGGCCGGGGAGGGCGGCGGCGGACCCTCGCGCTCGCGCATGCCCTGCACCACGGCTGGCAGCCACTGCGAGGGCGGCCGCAGCGGGGTCTCCACCGGCGCGGCGCTGTCCGCGGCGACGCCGAGGAGTGGGAGCGCCGCGTCCAGGAAGGGACCCACCTGCCGAGCAGCCGCCGCCGCCACTGCCGCCGCCGCCGACGAAGACGACGACGGCGTCGGCGTCACGGGAGGACGGGGAGGAGGAGGAGGAGGAGGAGGAGGAGGAGGAGGAGGATGATGAGATGATGATGATGATGATGATGATGATGATGATGATGATGATGATGATGATGATGATGATGATGATGATGATGATGATGATGATGATGATGAGGAGGAGGAGGAGGAGGGGGAGGAGGAGGAGGAGGAGGAGGAGGCGGAGGAGACGAGGAGGAGGAGAAAGAGGAGGAGGAGGAGTTGGAGAAGGAGAAGGTGAAGGAAGAGGAGAAGCAGGAGAAGGAAGAGGGAGGAGCAGGAGGAAGAGGGAGAAGGAATGTGGAAGTAAGACGAAGAGGAGGAGGAGGAGGAGGAGGAGGAGGAGGAGGAGGAGGTGGAGAAGGAGGAGGAGGAGGGTGACCTGAGATCGAGTATGAATGCGCCTGGTCGCGCGTGTGCGCTGGTCAAAGAGACCTGCGGGGTTGGCAAGACCAGGCCAGGGCCTAGCGTTCGATGTCGGATCGTCCGAGGTAGTCATGAGTTCCATGGCCTCCAAAATCCAACTGGAAGTGTACTGATGTCCCGTTAAGGTTCCTCTGCAGGGAGTGGGCTAGCACGTCGTCGCAAGACCGTTTTCGTTGTTCGTCGTGCTGGCGGTAATCATGTTGGTCGGGGATCGTGGGTGTTAGGCTCCCAGGCTGAAGCGAGGGGCCTGGAGAGGAAATGGGGCGGAGGAGAACGACGACGGAGGACGGGGGGGGAAGAGAAGGTAGGGGGAGGGGGAGCGGGATGAGGAGAGATGGAGGTGGACGCGACGGCCTGGCGGCAGAACATCCAGCTTCATCCTCGGCCAGCGCCTGGATGCCTCCTCCGTGGCCCGCATGCGGGCTGCCAACTCGCGCAGACGATCCCAACCGACCGAGCGCGAGGAGCCTGCAGCACGTGGGCCTGGAGGGGGCTTGGAGCACCGTCCTGGGCGGTACCCGCGCAGGTGCCACCACATCGTCACCCTCGGGATTCTTCCTGCCATGGGGGTGCCGGCCAGCACGGAGGCGAGCAAGCGCACCTGCTCCCGAGGTGCCCCGCCTCTTTTCACACCCCTGGCCCAGCAAGCGGCAAAACGCCTGCTGGTGCAGGCACCGCAGGCGTAAGGAGCAACCAACGGTCTTCGAGAGTTGCTCAACGCAGCAGATCCCAGCCTATGGTGCCTCTCGGCCTCCGCGCCACGGAGGCGTCGAAGGGCAGCGGAAACACCAGCACAACGGCTCACAGGTCGGGACTCATCGTCGAACGAAATCCTGAACCATCGCACACGCCGAAGGGCGCTCTGCTCGCTGCCCAGATCTGCCCAGTCATGCCCGTCGGGAGGGAGCGGCACGCGCGGCAGGCGTGGACCCCCCCGGGGCTCTCTCGAAGTCCAATTTAGGGAACAACGGGAGGGCACGGCCGAACATCTGAGCACAGGAGCGAAGGACCTGCACCCGCTTATCCAGCTTAGCCAGATCAGCAGGTGCAAGCTGAGGGTGGAGCGAGAGGGCGAACTTAGCAAGGCGATCCGCGTCCTGGCTCGCCAGAGCGATTCGCTTCTGAGCAGGTGGCAACTCCTGAATTACAGCATCAGATCGGTGGGCTGGGGTTTGGTAGGCCTCTCCAAAGGCCTCGTATCCAGCCGACTGATGGGCCGCTCGACGAAATCCCGCAAGCATCTCCTTGGGACTAAGCTGGGCCACATCCGACAGGTTGTGCAGCCGCACCGCGCCTTTACAGTCACTGTAAGGGGTTGGCATGCCGAAACTAAACGCACAAGCCACAGCAAGGCCCATATGTTCGGCAGCCTGGGGCGTTTGGTGCAAGACAAGCCACACTGTGGCCATGAAACGGGTCCGAACCGATACTCATCCCCAGGTTCCAAGAAAAATCCCGCGAAGGCAGCACGGCTCAAATCTAGGATTGGATACTCCGTAGCAGAGCCGTCGACCACCAGGTCGCAGCTCTCACTCCGCTCCACGCATTCTTCTCCGCTCCAAGTGACAATGGCTGCCCATTGGCATCTTGCAAAAGGGTACTGGAGGAGGTGGAGGAGGAGGAAGAGGAGAAGGAGGAGGAGGAGGAGGAGGTAGGGAGAAGGGAGGACGGGAGGGATGGAGGGAAGCAGGGAGGAAGGAGGCGGAGAAGGATAATAACTCCTACAACGGGGAAGGACAAGTGTCGGAGTGAGTGACGAGAGGGGAACTTTCACTGCCAGAAAGAGAGGTCAAAGATGGCTCTAGATGGTCCGAGGTGGTCCCAGGAAGAGGGGGACGGGGCGTGGTAAGAAGCCACCGCAGCGAAACATTCGAGAGGTGGCCGTGAATCCGCGTGGCAGCAAGGCGGCCCTCCCTCACAGCTCCTCTCGAGCCTCGGGCTGGGGCAGCGCCAACGCCATGGATGACATCTCCGCGCGCACGTGCGCCAGCTCGTCCTGGACCCTGGCGAGCCTGGCGGCGGCCTCCCGTGCCTCCGCCTCTTGCCATGAGAGGGGAAGGCGTCGTGAGGGGAATCGGTACTGCAATCCCGGGGCTCTCCCCAAGGCCAGCTCTCCGTCCAAGGTGCGCTGTTGGACTGGAGGCAGAGCAACTGCATAAGCACAAGTTCTCGGATGTCCGCGCGGACTGCCTGGATCGGCGCTGGACCCCCTTTCCTGGCGCGCGGAGCGCGCCAGGGGGCGGCGCAGGAGGTGCCGCCAGGGAGGCCCAACGCCGCTCCAAGAAATCCGCGCGGAACTCCGAACGTTTAGGTTTGTGACGTTTTTGGTGCTTCGATTCGTGGCGTTTTTGTGACGTTTAGTTTTTGACGTTTTGGTTTTGCGACGTTTTTGTGAAGTTTAGGTTTAGGTTTTGTGACGTTTTTTCCCCACATCCAAAGTGGGGTTCTTGTTTTCTCTGCACACCCCGCGCAGGAACACTCACCCCACCCCCTCTCCTCTTCTGCCTCATCATGCGGATGAGAATTCCGTCGTCACTTTTGGGCTCCTGGGGCGTGAATTTGGAGGAAGTATCAGGCGGGAGCGTCGTCTGTGAGTGAATTGCGAGGAAGCCTCAGGCGGGAGCCCCCTCCCTATGGGTCCCGCACTTCATGTTGGTAATCCGAGGCGGGTCATCGGAACCTTGTAACTGTCGTCACTTTTGGGCTCCTGGGGCGTGAATTTGAAGGAAGTATCAAGCGGGAGCGTCGTCTGTGAGTGAATTGCGAGGAAGTCTCAGGCGGGAGCCCCCTCCCTATGGGGCCCGCACTTCATGTTGGTAATCCGAGGCGGGTCATCGGAACCATGTAACTGTCGTCACTTTTGGGTCCTGGGGCGTGAATGTGGAGGAAGTATCAAGCGGGAGCGTCGTCTGTGAGTGAATTGCGAGGAAGTCTCAGGCGGGAGCCCCTCCCTATGGGGCCCGCACTTCATGTTGGTAATCCGAGGCGGGTCATCGGAACCCTGTAACTGTCGTCACTTTTGGGCTCCTGGGGGGTGAATATGGAGGAAGTATCAAGCGGGAGCGTCGTCTGTGAGTGAATTGCGAGGAAGTCTCAGGCGGGAGCCTCTCTCTATGGGGCCCGCACTTCATGTTGGTAATCCGAGGCGGGTCATCGGAACCCTGTAACTGTCGTCACTTTTGGGCTCCTGGGGCGTGAATTTGGAGGAAGTATCAAGCGGGAGCGTCGTCTGTGAGTGAATTGCGAGGAAGTCTCAGGCGGGAGCCCCCTCCCTATGGGGCCCGCACTTCATGTTGGTAATCCGAGGCGGGTCATCGGAACCCTGTAACTGTCGTCACTTTTGGGCTCCTGGGGCGTGAATGTGGAGGAAGTATCAAGCGGGAGCGTCGTCTGTGAGTGAATTGCGAGGAAGTCTCAGGCGGGAGCCCCCTTCCTATGGGGCCCGCACTTCATGTTGGTAATCCGAGGCGGGTCATCGGAACCCTGTAACTGTCGTTACTTTTTCCCCACATCCAAAGTGGGGTTCTTGTTTTCTCTGCACACCCCGCGCAGGAACACTCACCCCACCCCCTCTCCTCTTCTGCCGTCGCACACTCACTCACTCACTCATCATCATCACCACTCACTCACACTCGCACTCACTCACACTCTCTCATCATCAACATCAGCATCATCACTCGCGCTCTCTCACACGCTCAGTCCCTCACATACGCATCATCATCATCATCATCATCATCATCACCACTCGCACTCTGTCACACGCTCACTCATTCACATACTCACCTGGAGGAAGTCTCAGGCGGGAGTTCGTCTGTGAGTGAATTGTGAGGAAGTCTCAGGCGGGAGCCCCCTCCCTATGGAGCCCGCATATCATGTTGGTAATCCAAGCGGGCCATCCAAACCCTGTAACTGTCGTCACTTTTGGGCTCCTCAAGCTTGAATGCGGAGGAAGTCTCAGGCGGGAGCCTCGTCTGTGAGTGAATTGCGAGGAAGTCACAGGCGGGAGCCCCTCCCTATGGGGCCCGCGTTTCATGTTGGTAATCCGAGCGGGTCATCCAAACCTTGTAACTGTCATCACTTTTGGGCTCTTCAGGCCTGAATTTGGAGGAAGTCTCAGGCGGGAGCCTCGTCTGTGAGTGAATTGTGAGGAAGTCTCAGGCGGGAGCCTCCTCCCTATGGGGCCCGCAGATCATGTTGGTAATCCGAGCGGGTCATCCAAACCCTGTAACTGTCGTCACTTTGGGCTCTCGCGCTGCCAGAACGCCGTTCCCGGGCCACATTGTGCATGCCCGGAGCCAACTGTAGGCCACTTCGTGTTCTTCGTGCTCCCAGAACACCATTCCTGGGCCACATTTTGAAACCCCGGAGCCAACTGTAGGCCACTTCGTGTTCTTCCTGTTCCCAGAACACCACTCCCGGGCCACATTCTGGATGTCCGGAGCCAACTGTAGGCCACTTTGTGTTCGTCGTGTTCCCAAAGCGTCATTCCCGGGCTACATTTGTGAATTTCGAATCCGAGGAGGGTCCTCGGAATTCGTATGCCTGTCGTCACTTTTGGGTCCAGACGCTGCGCAAGGGCGTCACCATCGACTGCGCGAGAGACGAGGACGCTGGCCGCACGGGCATGTCTGACGAGCAGTGGTGGCTGCACCTCTACGTCATGCTCTCCCGCGCCACGCGCATGCGGAACATGTTGATCCTGCGGCCGCCGCCGCGGGAGTTCCTGGAGCGAGGGCCGCCAGCGTCCTTGCGGAAGGCGCTCCTGGAGTTCGACAAGAGAGCGGTTTTGTCCAGGGCGGAGGCGAAGCAGCTCGCGGCAGAGCTGGGCTTCGTGCTGCCCGCCTGAGCGCGGCTGCGCCCCGCTCGAAGCCCGCGGGGTTGTCCCAACGGCTTGGTTTTGCGCGCAAGCGGCTCGCGGGGTTGTCCCGACAGCCTGGCCCGCGGGGTTGTCCCAACGGCTGCGCGACGTGGCCATTAGAGAACGCGCCTGCGCTGGCCGAGGCGGCGACGGCGCCGAGGAAAGCCGACATGCGCGCTCGTGCAATGGAAAGGCGAGGCGGTGGCGGGGCGCGAAAAAAACAGGAGGGCGAGGTCGGGGGCAACGTAGGGAGCGGGGGGAGGGCCCGCGCCAGGGCGAGAAGAAATATACGCAGAAGAGACAGTCAGGACGCCTCACCAACCACGAAGACGACGGTGAGCGCTTTTTCCAGATTCGCCCAGAGGATTCTCATGTGGGGTCCTTCCGTCGGAGTAATGTGACGTTTAGGTTTGCGAACGTTTACGGCCCAGGGTCCCGGGAATGCCGAAAATTGCGAGAAGCCCCAGGAAACTCTCCCATGCCCTCCGACGCGCCGTTTTTTCTCAGTCCGCGGGCCCCGGAGGTCTCGGCCCCGTCCCCAAGGGCTGCTCTCCGCCCGGCATCCATGCTTGACGACACCCAGAGCGGCCCGCCTGAAGAAAGACAAAACAACGCAACCATACTCCAGATGTCGTAATAAAAGGGAGGGGGTCTGGACCCTCCAAGACAAGCCATTTCAGACCCCCCCCCGTGGGAGAACCCTCCAAAACATCGTCCCCAGACCCCCCCAGGCCCTCCAAGATATCTTGGAAGAGACCCCCCCCCCGAAATGAGACCCCCCTCCCTTTATTACGAAATCTGGAGTAAGCATAAGCTTGCGACGGTCCGCCCCGAGTTCTTGGACCTGCGCTGGACCCCCCCTGGCGGCGCCTCCGGCGCCGCTCCTGGCCCATGGCGCGCTGCGCGCGCCAGGAAGGGAGGTCCAGGGCAGATCCAAGAGATCCGCGCGCAGCGTCGAAGGATAAAATGTTTACGCATGGTTTCCTTCTTCGACCTCCGGAGGCCGCAGGCTCGGGGAGAGCAGACACCGAGGCTGACAAGCCGTTAGCCCGCCGCAGGCCCAGGATCAGTCAGTATCGAATCGATAAACGGGATCGAATCGAAATTTGCATCGGATCGGGCTGCATCGGCACGGAATCGAAATCGAATCGTGTCGGCTGCACTGGGATGCACAACGACGCCTTGCGAGTATCGACCCGCGTCGGACCCCCGGGAACTCGAACTCTTATCCGTTCGGGCCGGCCAGACTCGACGTCGAATCGGGAGGATCGGATCAAGGTGGACCCAGCAGGCCTGGGCCTTCCCTTAGGTCGGGCCTGTCCCCCTACAGGGGGATCTTGGGCGAAAGATGTAAAACATACCCCCGAAATACCCCCCCCATATGCTCTAAAATAATAAAAGAATCGTCCCCAGGGCATTTTCCTACCATTTTTGAATATCCCCCCTGTATGAAGGGGCCCTGGGACACACAAATAAATACACACAAATAACAGGATGCCCCATATTTTCCCATATCTTCTGGGTTTCTGTCTTCCCCCCCACTGCCCATATTTTCCCATATTTTCTGGGGAATCGACGATTAACTGTGTCTGTTTTTTTTTTCCCCTCCTGACTGTAGAAGGACGGGCCCGACTTCAGCCGCAAGCCTTCCCTCACGACCCGCCCCCCGTGGCGAGCCTCGGCCGACGCCAGCCGCCCCTCCGCGCGCCGCAGCGCCTCGCGCAGGGCGACGGCCGCCCCCGCGCCCCCCTCCAGCTGGCCCTCGCCCCGCCCACTGCTGCGCGCCGCCGGGCCTGCCGGCGGGAGGTGCTCAGGGAGCTGGCAGGGCCAGACGAGAGGGGGGGATAGCGTTAAGTCGGGCCTGTCCCTCTACAGGGGGGGTACTCAAACATAGCAACAAAAATACTCAGGGGACGTTTTCTTTCTACTATGTTTGAGCATTTGGGGGGTCTTTTGGGATATGTTTTATTTTTCGCCCAAAATCCCCCTGTATGGGGGACAGGCCCGACCTAAGGATAGGGAAAGGGGGGGGTACGAAATCTGCTGCGTGCAGCTGGTTTCAGCCCCACCGAGGGGCCCATTCCTCGATACATGGCCGCCTCCGGCGCCGGGAGGCGCCAGGAAAATCAGCTACGTGAGCTGATTCTCAACCCCCCGCTTTGCTATCCCCCCGTTCGCCCGGCCCGAGCTGGAGGCCCAGCTTCCTCAGGCGGCCCGCGCGGTCCTCGGACCGCAGCTCCGGATGCCACAGCGCGGCCATGAGGACGTAGCGGTGCTCCGTGCCGTTGTTCCAGGCCTCGTGCTCGAAGGAGTCGTCGAAGCACAGGGCGCGGCCCGCCTGCCAGCGGAGAAGGGGGCGGTCGGCCACCCGCAGCCACGAGCCAGCGGGGGTGACGAGGCCGAGATGGCAGTAGAGCTTCGCGTTCGAGGCCCCGCTGTGGGGCTTCAGGCGGGCACCGGGCGATAGCCTGAACAGGTTGATCTCGTTCAGGAACAGGGGCCCGCGCACTCCGCTGGACTCTGCGGGCAGTGTGTTGAACTCAGCGCGACCCTGCAGCAGCTTGCAAGTGCTTGCCAGCACGTCGTTGCAAGCATTGCTCCATGAACGCCCGTTAAAAACCTTGTGCTCGCTCCAGCTACCTGCTGTTATCAGGAAGTGGTCGTTCTGGCCGAACGCGCTATAATAATTCGTCGACCCCTCGGGTGACGGCGTGGAGGATGCCTGTTCCCCATCCCCGAGCCCTCCACGGGGGGGCCCGATCTTGTCAATCTGCGGGTGGCGGACTGAGGATGTGGCGTTGGGCCGGAGTGCCACAAATGCTGTGGACGTCCGAGATGCCCCAATCGCCATCGCTCGGACGTCCATTTCCAGTGCATTTTTCGGTTTCGTGCGTTTTTTTTTGCTCGATGGTCCAGGATCGTCTTCAATGGTTCTCGCCGAGAAAAAAATGCACACGTCCGAGCGATGCCCGGCCCACGGGGGTCCCAAGACGTCGCCAAGGCAGCCCGAGAGGCTTCCAGGGCAGCGGAAGAGCGCGCCAACAAGAAGCCCCAAGAGGCACCGGCAGAGCTCGCACGAGGCGCGGTCCCGATCCTAAATCTCGGCGGTCTCCGATTGGGTTTCTGTCGTCCATGAGTTTTTCGGCCCAAGGTGGCCTGGAGAGTCCTCCAGAGGGCATCCCAAGCAGCGCAAGGCGACCCAAGAGGCCGCCAGGACAACATCCGACGACCTCCAGAGTGCGCCAGATCGGCCCCAGAGGGCCCCAGAGGGCCCCAAGACGCCCCCAGGATCCGCCTGGCTCCAAAAGGCCAAGAAGGCCCAAAGAGGGCCTCGCAATCCGCCTAGAGTCACGGTAAACCTTCCCCTCATCTCGTCTCTCTCTCTCTCATTCTGCCTGTATCTCTGCCCCTGGATGTCTATGTTTCTGCCTCTGTCTCTGTTTTGTTTGTTTCTCTCTCTGTCTCTGTCTCTGTGTCTATATGTAGTTCTGTCTCTGCGTCTCTGTGTCTCAGTGTCTCTCTGACTCCGTATCTCTCTATAGTTCATCGTCCCTCCCATGCTCGTCCTTGTCTTCGTCCTCCTCCCTCCTCCTCCTGGTCCTGCTCTGCTCCACCCCAGCTGCCCATCATTTTCCTCACTCAGTGCCTGCAGGGTCGAACCGCAGCCTCGATAGTGTCAGGGGTTCGGCGGATGTGGTGTCAGCCTCAAGAACGAGGATCTGTTAGGAAGTCGCTAAACTCTTGTATGATTACGCGGTGGTGCGTCTCTAGAAAAGGGGCCAAATCCAAATGTTCTGTCCATATCGGTCTCTTCGTGAGCCCTGGTGTGAACCAGGTGGGGGTCTGCCAGCTATCCTCCCATAGGTGAACCTGCTGCCCCTGGAAGCGGACCGCCTTGGCGCGCTGGAAGTACATGTCTGCCACTTCAGGCCGACCGAAGTGCCTACTGTAAGTGATCAATTTCGCGAATATCACTCCGCTGCATTTCTCGTACGCGGTCAAGTTGGCAGATGACGTCATTGCGCACCGGTCCACATGCATCAGCTCGTCAAAATAAGGGATCGCCTCTTCTAACATCCCCATCGCGTCGTAGCAATACGAAATGCCATCGAATGCCTGGTAGTAGAAATACTTAAACCCCTGAGTCTTGAATGTGATGGTCCTTGGAGGCGGTCAGGGGGTCTGAACTGGTTGGGGAACCCGAAAATCGGCAAGGAGTGGGGATGAGGCCAAATCCGCTCAAAATTTGTCCCCGGATCCCTGGATCCATTTTTGACGGTCCCGGGGTCCGAAAACAGCCCTCCAGAGGCCGAAGAAGACAAACAACCTTCTCGAACCCAGCACCTCGAACCTGCGTCCCCCCCCCCCCCCTCTTGCTGACCGGACTCAGTGCTGGGCCACCTCCGACCACCAAACGGCTCCAAGATGGTCCCATCTTCGCTCGACCAGGCTGCTCTCATGTCCCGCACCAGGCTCAAGTACAACGCCGCCGCCCTCGCGAGCTTGCTCTGATCGCCAAAGGTTGGATTCGCCTCCATGGCCTTGTCGTGCGCATCTCTGAGCGCAGACGACTCGAAGACCTTCTGGTTCATGCAGTCTAAAAACTCAGGCGAGCCAGGTTCGCAGAGCTCCACTCGCGGCAGCTCGACACGGTCCGCCTCCAACATGACTGCGAGCAGCGTGGCCGCGACTGCGCGCGCACCACGCGGCATGAGCGCGTCGTGCCTGCGGTGTGGCTGCGCCTTCCACCCGACGAGCGCATCTTCTTCGCGGCCAGAACCGGCGTTCTGGGCGGGGGGCGAGGGGGGGTGCATAACGTCTCGCCCCCCCCCCCGCCGCGAGGCTCTGGCACCACAGCGCCTGTGCGCATCACAGCAAGCATCACAGGGCGCAGCACAGTATGCACCGCCGCAGCCGCGTGCACCACATCGCCCCTGTACTGCGCAGCGCATGCGTGCATCACCACAATGTTTCTGTTCCCCCACACCCTCCTTCGAACATCATCATGTGCTGGTGTTTGCTGGACGACGAGGGCGCCCGAGCGCCAGACGACGACAACGACGACGGTGATAAGGGCGACGACGAGGACGAGGACGGGGATTGTGACGACGACGACGAGGAGAATGAGGACGAGGACGAGGACGATGACAACGAGGACAAGGACGGCGACGACGTCGACGAGGACGAGGAAGAATGAGGACGAGGACGATGACGACGAGGACAAGGACGACGACGACGACGACGACGATGACGACGAGGACGACGAGGATAACGACGACGGCGACGGCCGCTTCTGAAGGTCTCCGGAAGTCTCAGGTGGCCTAGTTTCTGGAGTCTTCTGGAGGCCCTTCGAAGCCCTCGGCGACGACGACGAGGACAAGGACAAAGACGGGGACAACGACGACGACGACGACGAGGACAAGGACGACGACAGGGACGAGACGAGACGAGGACGGGGACTGAGGACGAAGACGACGATGACGACAAGGACGTGGAGGACGACAAAGACGACGAGGACAAGAGCGACGACGACGACGACGACGAGGACGAGAGCGACGACGACTTCGACGACGACGACGACCACGGCCGCCTCTGAAAGTCTATTGAGATCTCCCGAGGCGTCAGGAGGTCTCCGGAGACCTCTGGAGGCGTTTGGAGGCCCTTTGAGGTCCTCGACGACGACGACGACGAGGACGAGGACAAGGACGGGGACAACGATGACAACGATGACAACGACGACGACGTCAACGACGACGGCGGCGACGACGACGACGACGACGAGGACGATGACGATGAGGACGACGACGACGAGGACAAGGACGACGACGACGACGACGACGACGACGACGACGACGACGAGGACGACGAGGACGAGGACGACGACGAGGACGAGGACGACGACGATGACGACGACGGCCGCGTCTGAAGGTCTCTGGATGTCTTCGGAGGCCTAAGCTCCCCAGAGACCTCTGGAGGCGTCTGGAGGCCCTTCGAGGCCCTTGGCGACGACGACAACGAGGACGAGAGCGACGACCGCGACGAGGACGAGAAGGACGACGACGACGACGACGACGACAGGGACAATGACAAGGACGGGGACGGGGACGAGGACGTCGACGATAACGACTAAAGTGACGACCACGACGACGCCGACGACGTCGACGACGACGGCAATATCGACGACGACGACGACAACATCGACGACGACGACGGGGACGAGGACGGGGACGGGGACGGGGACGGGGGCCGGGACGGGGACGGGGCCGACGACGACGACGACGACGACGACGACGACGACGACGACGACGACGGCCGCCATTGAAGGTCTACAGAGGTCTCCCGAGGCCTCGGGAGATCTTTGGAGGCATCTGGAAGCGTCTGCAGGCCCTGCGATGCCCTCATACACAACGACGAATGTTAGAGTAGCCTGCAAGCACCACGGTAGACTGCGACCATCACAATGGCAGTGCCGGAGGCGCACTACGGGGGCAAGGGGGAGGGGAGCGTTACGGGGGGCAGAGGGGGACATAATGCGCGTCGTGGCCCAGAAGGGTTGAAAACATGCTCGATGCGACGTGGTCGAAAACTGCTCCCAGCCAAAACGGCTACGGAGGGGGAGATGTCAAAGACCCACGCGCAGCAGCAACAGCGGAAGCAGCGGCAGCAGGAGAGAAAGCGCCGTCGGCGGAGACTTCGTATAGGTCTCCCAAGATCGTGTGGTTGCGCCGCTGTCCTCGCGAGACGAGCCAGATGAACCAGACGATGCACCGGGCCAGACGATTGACAGACGAGCGCACCCGTCGGCCCTCAAGGGCTGACGGGTGAGAGAGGGGAAGAGGCGGAGAAGAGAGGGAGGAGGAGGCGGGGAAGGAGGAGAGGAGAGGAAGAGGAGGAGGAGGCGGAGAAGAGAGCGAGGAGGAGGCGGGGAGGGAGGAGGAGGCGGGAAGAGAGGTGCCACCCACCTGCTCGACGAAGAGGCGGAGAAGGAGAGGGAGGAGGCGGAGGGGCAGCAAAACCCGCGCCGGCCCCGGGGCGGCCCCGCCCCGCCTCCACTTCCACGCTCCGGACATCACTGGGGATGTGGACCAGCTGGGGAAGCCCGTCTCTCGCTCGCCCGGGCACGCGCACGCCGGCGGAGGCAGGCCAAGCCCAGCGGCTGCCGACATGATCAGAAGAGTTGCCCCATCCGCCCCTCCGCCCCCTAATCTCCTCCCCTCTCCCCGCCGACTCCCCGCTGCCGTCATTCTCCGCGCGGATCTCCTACAACCCCCAGCGGATCCAGGTAGGCGTCAGACATGGAATCGTCCCAGACATCCGACGTCCTGCCGTTCTCGTGGATTTGGTCGCTGGACCAATCGACACCACCCCAAGGACAAATTTTGCATCCCGAGTCGTTTTTCATTGCTGCGGGAAGACGCAAGTCGAGGAACAGCTTGCCATCTCGGTCCCGAAAGAGATCTAGGGCTGGGCGGGGAGGCCAGGGTCGTCTCAGGATCGACCGGTAGTCGACATCGGAGCGGTCTCGCGTCGAGGATGAACTCCCTTGATCATATTGCAAGGGGACATCAGCTCTTCCTGTGGCACCACCATACGTTTCGTTAGGACGGCTGCATGTTTCGCCTGAGACCTCCTCACCATTTACGGTCTTGACGCTTGGCATCTCCACCGTCTGCACTCACTGATGGAGGGCGGGCCGTTTTCAAAATAGGGCCCTCGCCTTGGCGCCGTGCACGCTCGCCTGAAGCATCCAACAGCTACACGGATGGAACGCGAATCGTTTTGAAACAAATCCAACACGTATATGGGTGGAGGGCGACCTGGGACTCCTCAACATGTACAAACACGAATGCAAAGCAGCACGAACGTTACACGGAAGGAGGGCTCCTCTTTCCTGACTCATCTTTCTCCCTCCCTCCCTCCCTCATTCCCTCCTGCAATGTGAAACTTGGAGGCGGCTGGGAGGTCTGAACAGGTTGGACCTCGAGAAAATCAGTCAAGATGGGAGGTTAAGGGCAACTCTTCTCAAAATTGGTCCCCGGATCCCTCACAGGGACCACCTGGTGCAGTTTCTCACCAGCGAAGTATTTTTGACGGTCTTGGGGCCCGAAAACGGCCTCCCGGGGACATCAGAAGGCAACAAAAAAACTTCTCGAACCCAGAACCTCGAACCTGCCCCCCCGTCCCGCCCGCCGGAACACATGCCAGGCCATCTCAAACCCCCCCGCGCCGGCTCCAATCCAAACGAAGCTCCTGCGGCCCCAGGGACGCGTCGCCGTCGTCGCCCGCGTGCCGCGGGTGGGTCGGCTGCCCCAGCGGGCTGCGAGCCGTGGGCACGGGGCTCCTCGCCGGCGGGGGAGGTGGGGGCGCGAGAGGAGGGAGGGAGGGGGAGGGAGAGGGAGGGAGGGGGAGGGAGGGGGAGGGAGAGGGAGGGGGAGGGAGAGGGAGGGAGGGAGAGGAAGGGGGAGGGAAAGGGAGGGAGGGGCGGGAGAGGGAGAGGGAGGCAGGGAGGGGCCGCGACGACCACAGCTGGCGGGACCACGGCCACGTCGCCCACGACGACCACGACCCCGACGACGCGACGGGCCGACCCCGTCTCCCCCCTCCCCTCCTTGCCCCTTGCCGGCCGCCTCTGCAAGTGGTTCGCCCGCCTCCACCTCCTCCTGTCCTCCTCCTCCTCCTCCTCCTCCTTCTCCTCCTCCTATTCCTCCTCTTCCTCTTACTGCTCCTCCTGCTCCTCCTCCTCCTCCTCCTCCTCCTCCTCCTCCTCTTTCTCCTCCTCCTCCTCCTCCTGTCCTCATGGGTGGTGTGGGCCAGGCCTGGGCCCGAAGGCGGTCCGAGCCCGACTCGCCGTCGGCCTCCCCGCTCGGCGCGGGCCCGTGCGACGCCCTTACCCAAAGGCGGGCGAGGGATTTGCTTCTTGAAGATGTACGATGCGTGGTAGACCACAGGAGTCAAAGGACCTTCGCTCAGGGCCGCCCCCTGAGGGCCAGTGGGGGCGCCATCCCCGCAACCGGCGAGAGGGAGGGGGAAAGGAAACGCGAGGAGCGAGGGAGGGAGGGAGGGAGGGAGGGAAGAGGGGATAGTGAGGAGGGATCGAGAGGGAATGGGGAGGAGGATACTGGATGCTGGATTGACCCGCATCCAAAGAGGCAGGTCTGAGAAGATAAGGGTGAAACGCAAGATTCAGTAGCACGAATTGGCCACATTCCCAGAACGCCGTGATCGTGTTTCTCATCAAAAGACGCGCAGGCCAGTGCAGACATATTCAACACGTGAAGACAATGTTAGAATGGAGGACCCACGCCAGAAGAGAATCCACAGCCGTTAAATCCTCCAAACTCGTGATAGTGTCGGAGGGAAGCGGGAACGGCAGGTCCCCGTGATACATTGCGCTTGGGATCAAGCCAAATCTAGCAGACGCGGCCGGTTCGAGAAGGGAGGAATGAGGAGGGAGGAGGGGGGGGACGGGGAGGATATGGATGGGGGAGGGGGACAGTGGGGAGGGATGGGAAGTGGGAGGCGGAGACCTCCTCGTCCTCCTCCTCTGCCTCCTCCTCCTCCTCCGCCTCCTCCTCCTCCTCCTCCTGCTCCTCCTCCTCCTCCTCCTCCTCCTCCTCCTCCTCCTCCTCCTCCTCCTCCTCCTCCTCCTCCTCCTCTTGCTCGCTCCATTCCCCGCCAGCGGCCGCGCCTGGCTGCTAGGCAGTGCGCCCGTTGCGGCAGGGAGGAGAGAGAGAGAGAGAAAGAGAACATAAAAGAAAAACATATCCCAGTGCGACCCTACCTAGGAGTTGGAGCCCCTAGGAAAGCAGCACCGCTATGCTATGCTGTGCTCTGCTATGTTAACGCTCAGCGAAGCTAAGATGAAGGTAAGCTAACTGAGATAAACCTGAGCTAAGATGAACCTAAGCTAAGCTAAGATGTAATAAGCTAAGCTAAGATGAGATGAGCAACGCTAAGCTAAAGGGACGTCACTGGGGGAACCGCGGGGCGGATACTGGGGGAACCGCCCGGGGCGTGTTACACTGCCCCGCCCTTTAAGCACACCGAGTAAGAACCCTTCTAGACAGAGCCTAGGTAGGGAACAAAAGAAAAGAAAGGAGAAGGGAGGAACCAATGACCGAAACCGTGCTATTGGGATTTTGGGCTTGGATATGGGATGATTGTCTCACAGCTCGAGAGGGGGAAATGATCATGGATCGAGAGTCGGGGACGCGATGCAGTTGCTTATCGAGCACGTTTGATGTGGATCCAGGGGGTCAGAGGGAGGCACGACGGATCTCCTCCTTCTCCTCATCATCCTCCTTTCCCTCGGTTTCAAACTGTTGCTCTATTCGACGGCCCCTCCTGTCACCACGGCTTGCGGCTGGGGAAACAGTCCAGGATGGACCACGGGAGGGGTCGGGTGACCGAGTTTGATCGGATCTGGGAAGGAAGCAACTGGCTTCACCTCGATTGTTGTTGAGGGCGCACCCGACACAAATCATGGGCCCATGTTGAGGGAGGCGAAGCCCAATGGTTTGGATCAGTCTGAACATGCTGTTGTGTCGGTTCAAACTCCTGGAGCAGTTTTCGGCCTCGGAAAACTCACTATCCAGAATAATAAATGTCTGGCCCTGGGGAAGAGAACGAGAGGTCGGGGGGCCAAAGTGATGAGCAAATCGTGACGTCGTCGGAAGCTGCTCCAGAGAGCACGCGAGCTGGGAGGTCAGGAAAAAACGTCCAGGAGAAGCAATAGAGAGGGCATCCTCCTCCTCCGCCTCATCCTCCTTTTCCTCCTCCTCAGCCTCATCCACCTCCTGATTCTCCCCCTCCCCTTCCTCAGCAATTCCTCTCGGTAAGGGGGCCGAGTTTGGGACGGTAAATTGAGGAACGGCACTGCAGCCATAGAGAGGTTTGAACGCAACGTCATCAGCTACGGCACTGGGACCGGGTAACACCCAGGTGTGCAGTGTCGCGATGGCTTTGCCTTGTTCCCCGCGCCCAATCTCCCCCGTTTCTCGCCTTCTTCTGGCCATCAAGACAGCTCCACCCTCACCCTCGCCAGCGTACTTCTATCCGCAGGAATCCGCATCCCTTTCACGGTACGGGCCCCCTGAAGAGTCACGCGACCTCCACGAGAAATGGCAAGCGAACGCACACGACATCGGGGATCTTCTGACCCGGGTCAATCCAGACCCGGGTCAGCAGGAAACCAAAAACTGCAATGCAGGAAACAAAAACTGCAGCGCAGGTCTTCGCAAACCCGGGTCAGCCAATACGAGCGGCCGCCTCGCGGCTCGCTAACCCGGGTCAGCCAGAGGGGGTCTTCGCAGGATCCTGCAGGATCTGGCACCCTGGCTGACCCCCGTCTGCACTGACCCCCGCCTCTTACGCCCCGACGACAACCCCGCAGCAATGTGCCGGGAGGATTGCCGAGACACGGGCCGCAGCGAACAGCAGCTGCCGGTCGACAGCGAGCCGACCGTCATCGGCCACAGCGCTCGGGCCACGGCGTGTGCCACACGCAGTCGGTGGCAGAGGCAGCGGGCTCCTGGGGGCTCCGGGAGGCTCCCAGGTGCCGCCTCTGGAGGCCCTCCGAGGTCCCCAGGAGTCCCTGCAGGCTGCCAGAGGCCCCCACGAAGGGCCCGTGGTCCTCCTCCTCCTCCTCCTCCTCCTCCTCCTCCTCCTCCTCCTCCCACTCGGGGTCCCTGGAGGTGTCCGCAGGGGACCCGGATGGCAGGAAGCGGCACCAGCACCACCCGTCCCCAAACGCCCCCACCCCCCCTTTGCGACCGCACATCGGAGCCGGCAAGCCGGCGCACAGGCCAAGGCTCCGACGTTCCACGGGTCACGGGGAGGGCCTCCGCCCCCTGGCCTCGATAGGACGGCAGGGTGGGTGGATTCGGGCTGTTTGGAACGCCCCGATGTGCACTGCATCTCTCCGCTCCGCCTCCCGTCCCATCGTCGACGATGCTCGTTCGATGCCGCACCGCAGGCAGGTTGGCGCGAAGTCCCCCCAGGGGGCGAAACGCGCATCCTCTGCTTTTTCTCTCGCTGGAGACCCAGTCCAGAACGAACACGGGCTCTGACGCTCCACGGGCCACGGGGAGGGCAGGAGAGCTCGGCCGCCGCCGTCCGAGGGCGCGCCTGCCGGGAGGTCGAGACACGCGTGCGCGCGGGACCAGGTTGAAGGGGCCCTGGGACACACAAATAAATACACACAAATAAAAATATTCCCCATATTTTAGCATATGTTTGGGGGTTTTCGTCTTCCCCCCCACTTCCCATATTTTCCCATATTTTCTGGGGGTCGACGATGAATTGTGTCTGTGTGTTTCTTTCCCTCCTGACAGGTGCTCGACGCCAGCGGCGCTCGTCGCGGCGAGGGCGGGGCGCCCGAGGGTCTTGGGGCTCCTGCGGGGGCCCTGGGCTCAGGCAGAGACCGCCGCGTTCCGACCGGAAGCCGACCACGGCATCCCCGGCATGGTGGGCATCAGTCGATCCGAGTTGCGGCCGGTGCCAGGCAGAGCGCTGGAAAGACATGCAGGCGGCATGTGTACAATCGGGGCGTTGACCCAAGGAACGATACATAAGGAACGAAGCCCCTTTTTTTATCCCAAGGAATAACGCATAAGGAACGATGAATAACAAATAACGCATAAGGAACTGTAAACAACGCATGCAAACCTAAGGAACGACCGAGCCCCTTTTGAAAAGTAAGTGTTCCTCACTCAAGCCGCTCACTGTACACAGCTCTCGCCCAGGCCGGCCACATCGTGTGCGTCCAGCTTCCTGGTGCAGAGGCGGGCAGGCGGACGCAGTGGCCCGCAGGCCCTCGACGAGGACCAGTGAAACGAGACAGCGCAGCTGGTTGCATCCGCGCCTCCTACCCCGTGGCGTTCTCGCACACGTTCCTCTTCTTGCGAGAACGACCAAGAGCGACTTTCAACCCGAAGCAAACTTTGAGTCGCCAAGAGGGCCTCCCAAAGTCGGGAAACGCCGGCGAAATCCATAGCCATCATCCACCTCCGCATCCTCCTCCCCCTCTCCCTGCCCCTCTGCCTGCTCCTCCTGCCCTTCCTTCTGGCAAGCCCCCGAGCTCCCTACAACGCCACATCCTCTAGAGCCCTCTCGCAAATCCTGCAACCTCCCTGTTGTTCCTCCACACTATTCTCCGTGTTGCCCTCGTCATGCCCCTCCTCGCCCCCCCACCTCCACCTCCTCCTCCTTCTCCTTGTCCTCCTCCTCCTCCTCCTCCTCCTCCTCCTCGCCCTGCCCCTCCCCGTCCACCCGCCCATCTCCGCCCATTCCCCCCGTGTGAGAATTACCTGCCCTTGCTGACTGCAGAGCCTGGGGCCCGTGCTCGCCGCGGCGAGGCCGACGCTCACCCTGGCCGTGCCGCCGTCGCCCTCGCCGTGGCCGCCGCCGCCGCCGTCGCCGGCGTCGTCGCCGTCGCCACTACCACCGTCGTCGCCGTTGTCCTCGCCGCCGCCGCCCCGGGCGCGCCTTCTATCGGCGATCTCCTCGCACACCTCGACCAGCAGCGTGTCCAGGACGTCGCCAGCGATGAGGTCGGCGGCCGCCCCCGTGGTGTGCACGACGGCGTCCGCGCGGCGTCCTCTGCCGCTGCGGGAGCGCGCGGCTTCCGGAGAGGCTACAGTCGGGGCGTTGACCTAAGGAACCCTAAATAAGGAACGAGGCCCCTTTTTTCTCATAAGTTAAACATCGATGTCCCATGGAAAACCTCAGGGAGACCTGAGGCAAACTGTTAAACAATCGAGGAACACCGAGCCCCTCCCCAACGAAAAGGGTTCCTTCTTCAGCGCCCCGACTGTACCCCCTGCCCGTCCTTCAAGGCCGCTTCTGGCGAGGCAGGCGCCGGCTTGCGCGCTAAACGCAGGGATTGGAGCGCGGAGCTGGGCGCACACGGTCGGAGGGCCCGTGGGGGCAGGGACGGCGGGGAGGCGGCGGCCAGGGCCGAGGCGTGGGGGGTGGCAAGGCCCCTGGAGGGCGGGAAGGGGAGGGCGGGGGAGGGGGAGGTGCAGAGGCGGGCGGGGCGGGGGACGAGGGGGATCATCGAGCGCGGCCCGCCCGCTGGCCGCGCGCGGAGCGCACCCGCACACACGTGTGGCTTGCCCCTGGACTCAACGTGGCGAGGGCCTTGACCACGTACACCGGGGGGACGCTGGTCCCGGACGTATGTGCGTGCGGTGTGCGCGCGGCTGTGCGCAACGTCGGCGGTGCTCGGAGAGGCGAGAGCCGAGAGCACGAGGATTTCGGGCCCATCTGATCCTAATCGGCGCGTCCCCACCAGAACGCCGACCGCATCATCCCAATGTTTTGGAAATCCACTGATGTTTCGGCCGGCGCCCATGTAGAGTCGATGGCCTGATCTCAAGCGGATGATGGGCCCACCCAATTTCCTAAGCAGCTCCAGCTCCTACCTCCTCCCTCCTTCGTCACAAGCGACCCATCACCTCGTTCTGCCTCCCTCCCCCTTCACTTTTCTTTCCCCCCCTCTCTCCCGCTTCCTCCCTCTCCTTTCCTCCCCTTCCGCGCCCTCATCCTCCCAGACATTTTCCTCCCCTCCTCGTCCGCATCCCCTCCCCTCATCCTCCCTCCTCCTCCTCCTCCTCCTCCTCCTCTCCTCCTCCCCCTCCTCCTCCCCTCCTCTTCCTCTCATCCCCCTCCTCTTCCTCCTCTCCTCCTCCTCCTCCTCGTGTTCCTCCTCCTCCTCCTTCTCCTCCTCGTCCTCCTTCTCCTCCTCCTCCCCCTCCTCCTCCTCATCCACCCCCGTTTCCTCCTCCTCCTGCTCCTCCTCTTCCTTCCTCCTCCATTCCTTCTCCTTATCAGTATGTTCTCCCTGTCGCACCTCGAGGCCAACTTTTAGGGCGGTCGCGGCGTTTCGCCTTGAGGCTTCCTCACCAGTTGTGACCCTGAGGCTTCAAAAATTGGAGAGAACGTGATCCACCGCCGCTTTACTGAGGAAAATTCCCCCCCCTCTTCCTCCAGAGCCCGGGTTCCCCCCCCCCTCCGAAAATGCCCCCCCATTGCTGGACCGCCCACCCCCCCGCCCCCCCTCCCCTCCCCCGGCAAAACTCTTCCCTTCCCCCCTTCCCCTCCCCCCCCCCCCCCCTCCCCTCCAGAAAACCGCGGGGGGTCACTACTGGTTCGAACCCCCCCCTTCTCCCTCGAAACCGAGGGGGGTCACTCCAGGTTCGAGCTCCCCCCCCTCCCCCCCACAAAACCAAAGGGAGGTCACTACCAGTTCGAACCCCCCCCCCACCGCCCTCCAGAAAACCGGGGGGGTCACTACCGTTCGAACCCCCCTCCCCCCCCCCCTCGAAAACCAAGGGGGGGTCACTACCGGTTCGACCCCCCCCTCCCTTCGAAAAAAACGAGGGGGCTCACTACCGGTTCGAATCCCCCCAACCCCCCCCCCTCGAAAGCCGGGGAGGGTCACTACCGGTTCGAACCATCCTCCCCCGAACCTTCCTCCCCCCCCCCTCACCGCCAGCAAACGACTCCCTGTCCCTACCACCGTCCACACCACATCCCCAACTGCTGCTCCCAGCGCCATTGTTTTCACCACCGCTGTCCCCACTGGTTCCACCACCGTCCCTACTGTCCCCACCAGTACCCCCACCATTGTCGCACTGTCCCCACTGTTCCCACCACTGTTCCCACACCGGTTCCACTTCCCCCACTTTCTCCACGGCCCCAACCACTGCCCGACTATCCCCACTGTCCCCACTGTCCCACTGTCTCCTCCGCTGTCCCATTGAGCTGTCCCACTGTTCCCACCACTGTCCCCACTGTCCCCATCACTGTCCCCACTACCTCTGTCCCATTGTCCCACCGACGTCCTCGCCACCGCCCTCACCACTGTCGCCACCACCACTGTACCCTCCACTGTCCCACTGTTTCCACCACATCCCCACTGTACCCCACACCACTGTCCCCACCACTGTCCCACTGTCCCCACTGTTCCCACCATGGCCCCCGCTGTCCCCACCAGTGCCCCCCACCAGTGTCCCACTGTCCCCACTCTCCCCACCATTGTCCCACCACGGCCCCGCTCTCCCCACTTCCCCCACGGTCCCCACCACTGTCCCACTGTCCCCACTGTACCCACTACTGTCCCACTGTCCCCGCCGCTGTGCCACTGTGCTGTCCCAGCGTCCCCACTGTCCCCATCACTGTCCCTCTGTCCCCATTGTCCCCACCACTTTCCCCACCGTGCTGCTGTCCCACCACTGTCCTCACCACCGCCTTCACCACTGTCCCCACCACTACCGTCCCCACCACTGCCCCGCTGTCCCCTCACCACTGTCCCGCTGTCCCCTCACCACTGTCCCCACCACCACCGTCCCCACCACTGTCCGCACCCTCTCCGGTGTTCGAGTGTTTCACGGGTTGACGGCGGGTCGTTATCAAAATGTTGGGCTCGCCTTCGCGCCGCGCACATTTGTTTTCAACAGTTGCAAAAGTTTCACGGATTGACGGCGGGTCGTTGTCAAAATGCAGCTCTCGCCTTAGCGCCGCACACATGTGTTTTCAAAATTGGCAAGAGCTTCGCGGATTGAGGCCGGGTGGTTTTCAAGATGTAGCTCTCGTCCTAGCGCCTCGCGAATTTGTTTTCAAACTTCGCAAGCATTTCACGGATTGAAAGCGGGTCGTTTTCACAAAGTGTCTCTAGCCTTAGCGCCGCGCAAATTTGTTTTCAACATGTGCAAGAGCTTCACGGATTGACGGTGGGTCGTTTTCAAAATGTGGTTCTCGCCTTTTTGCCGCGCGCATTCCTGTTAAACAAGTGCAAGAGCCTCACGGATTGAGGGCGGCTCCTTTTCAAAATATGGTTTTCGCGGTAGCGCCGCGCACATTCTTGTTAACATCTGCAAGACGTCACAAACACTAGCGTTTTGGACGGGTTTACGATTTTGAGGGCGCAACAGTTACGATGACACGCGGAGTTCAGGTCCCAAGAATGGCGTTCTGGCACGACTCGGGGCCGCCAACACGCAACCGTCAGGTTCATCCGTGGCAATGGAATACCGGTAGTCATATGTTGCCAGTCCCTGTGGAAATAAACCGTTGTATGGGGCCTATTGAGAAAGAGTTTGGGGGGAGGGGTTCTTCCGACACCGTTGGTGACTCTTGGGTTTACACTGGTCCTCCTGCTCCTCCTGCTCCTCCTCCTCCTCCTCCTCTTCCTCCTCATCATCATCAGCATCACCATCATCATCATCAGCATCCCCAGATTCCTCTTCCTCTTCCTCTTCCTCTTCATCCTCCTCCTCTTCTTCCTCCTTCTTCTCCTTCTCCTCCTGCTCCTCCTGCTCCTCCTCCTCGTCCTCCTCCTCCTCCTCCTGCTCCTCCTCCTCCTCCTCCTCTTCCTCCTCCTCCTCCTCCTCCTCTTCCTCCTCCTCCTCCTCCTCCTCCTCTTCCTACTGCTCCCGCTCGTGCTCCTGCTCCTGCTCCTGCTCCTCCTCCTCCTCCTCCTCGTCGACGTCCTCCTCCTCCTCCTCCGCTTCTTCTTCTTCGTCGTATTATTATTTGTCTTCTTATTATTATTAGTATTCTTATTGATATTATTATTCGTCTTCTTAGTATTCGTCTTCTTCTTCTTCTTATTATTATTCTTCTTATTATTACTATTATCCTGCTTGTTCTTCTTAGTATTCTTCTTAGTATTATTATTAGTATGCTTCTTCTTCTTCTTAGTATTATTCTTCTTCTTCTTCTTCTTCTTCTTCTTATTATTGGTATTATTCTTATTACTATTATTATTATTATTATTAGTGTTTTTATTCTTATTATTAGTATTATTATTATTATTATGTTTATTATTCTTATTCTCCTTATTATTCCTCCTCTTCCTCCTCCTCCTCCTGATCCTCCTCCTCCTCCTCCTCCTCGCCCTCCTCCTGATGATCCTGCTTTCCTCCTCCTCCTCCTCCTCCTCCTCCTCTTCCCCTCCTCCTCCTCCTCCTCCTCCTCCTCCTCCTCCTGCTCGTCCTTCGCGTCCTCTTTCTCCTCCTCCTCCTCCTCCTCCTCGTCCTCCTCCTCCTCCTCCTGTTCATGTTCCTGTTCCTGTTCCTGTTCCTGCTCCTGTTCCTGTTCCTGTTCCTTTTCCTCCTCCTCCTCTTCCTCCTCCTCCTCCGCCTCCTCCTGATCTTCCCCTCCTCCCTCCTGGTCCTCCTCCTCCTCCTCCTCCTCCTCCTCCTCCTCCTCCTCCTCCTCTTCCTCCTCCTCCTCCTCCTCCTCCTCCTCCTGTTCCTCTTTTTTTCCTCCTCTTCCCTCTCCTTTTCCTTTTCCTTTTCTTCCTCCTCCTCCTCCTCCTCCTCCTCCTCCTCCTCCTCCTTCCTTCCTTGCGAATCGCTTGACGACGCCGCTGAACGTTCGCGGCGCCGCGCGCGGCTGGGCCGCCCGGCGCGGGCACCTAGTCGCAGGCCGCGGCGGGCCCCGTAGCGCCCGGCCTGCGTGGCCTCCCCGCGGGCGAGGGTTTTTTGGCTGACGCCCGACGCTGACGCGGGGGGCGCCCGGCCTGGCGCCCCCAGGAAACGGTCCACCTGGCGGCCCGCCCAGCATGGGAACTGGTGGAGTGCCGCGCGGGGACCCCCGGCAGCCCCGCAGTTCGCTGGGTGCTGCATGTGTTTGCTTATGTCCCCCCCCTTGGGCGGCCGCCCAGAAGTGGCCCCCGGCAGCCCAGCTGGGGACGGGGCGCTGCGCGGTGGGCAAGATATTGGCGGGCCTGCTGATGCTGGCTGGTTGGTTGCGCGGGCGGGGCCTACCCCGCGCTCCCTGCTGGCCTGCTGTCCAAGCGCCCTGGCCGAGCTGCCCCGCAGTGCGCGGCGGCGGCGGCAGCGGCGACGGCGACGGCGACGCGACGACGACGACGACGACGGCGACGACGGCGACGGCAGCGAACAGCGACGGCGAATGGCGAGCGACGACGACGACGACGACGACGACGACGACGACGACGACGACGACGACGACGACGACGACGACGACGGCGGGGGAAGGCCAGAAAGGGGGCGCGGCGGAGGAGGAAAGGGAGGCGACGGGGATGACGAGGGGGACGGGATGAGGCGAGGGCAGGTGGGGCCCCCACGCCCTGCCGCGCGCCCAGAGGCGGCGCGGGTCTCAGGGGCCCTTCGGGGGAAGAGGCTCGACGCACAGGAGCAGCGCAGGAGGTAGAAGACGAGACCAAGGCCGGAGAAGGAGATCGAGCGGCCGAGGGCAAGATCTGTCGAGTCAAGAGAAGGGGGGAAGCGCGAGAGGGGAGCGGAGGATGGGGGGGGCGGCGCGGTTCCCCTGGGTCGCCGTCCTGGTCTGCTCTGACTGGCTGCGGACGTTGGGGCGCGGCGCGACGAAGGTGCCCAAGCCGGCCCCGGCCCCAGCACGCGCCAGCGGGCTGGCCAGGGCCGACCATGCTGGCGGCGTGAGGTGAGCGCGCGACCCAGCCCTCCCGCCCGCCCCAATGCCCGGGCCGCATCTGCTCCTCGGCGCCTGCTTCGGGCCTCGGGGTGCGGAACGAAGGGGTGCTTGGGCCAGCTGCCGGCCCGTGCCAGGCTTCGGTCAGCCTGGTCACTGCCCGAGACTGCCGTTGCGAAGGGCGGGGCTCGGTCCGGCCCCGCCCCCCGCCCGTCCTTCGGTCCTACTGCGCGGGGCGGCGACGACGACCGGGGGGGGCCGCGGCGATGGCAAAGGGGGGGCTGGTTCAGGGGGGGGGGCACGCGGCCAGGAAGGGAGCAATGAAGGACAAAAAGGAAGGCGCGGGAAGGGAGAGCGCGGAGACCAGGGGGGAAGGGAAGGGAAGGGAGGGCCCCCCTCGCGGCGGGCGCGCCCCGCCGCGCGCCGAGCGGCGCGGGTCTCAGGGTCGCTGGGCCGCGGCGGCCCGCCCGGCCTCGCGCTCCGCGGAACGGGTCTCAGGGCGGCCGCTTCCCGGTGAACGGGGGGTGTCGGCGTGGGGGCGAGGGGGAGAAAAGGGGCAGCGGAAGGGGGAGGGGGGGGGGGGGGGCGGGGCGAAGGGGCGGCGGAACGGGGGGCAGCGGGGAATAAGAAGCAGGCGGAGGGGCGGGCGGGGCCGGCGGCGGCAGCAGGGGAAAGAAGGAGAAGCACAGAGGGAGGATAGGCCCCCCGGCCTGCCTTCATGCCATGCCGCCAGCCCACTGGCATGGCGGCGGCGGCCCCGACGCTCGGGTCGGGCGAAGAGGGGGGGATAGCAAAGGGGGGGGTTGAGAATCAGCTCACGTAGCTGATTTTCCCGGCACCTCCCGGCGCCGGAGGCGGCTATGTATCGAGGAGCGGGCCCCTCGGTGAGGCCGAAACCAGCAGCATGCAGCAAATTTCGTAGCCCCCCATTTCCCAATCCCCCCCGTTCGCCCGGCCCGAGACGCTGGCGCCGACGCCGGCGCCGACGCCAACGCCGATGCCGGCGACGACGACGACGACGACGACGACGACGACGACGACGACGACGACGACGACGGCGACGACGGCGACGACGACAACGACGACGGCGAAGACGACGACGGCGGCGAGACGACGAAAGCGACGGCGTCGGCGAGGGGGCGCCCCGACCGGCCGCGCGCTGGGGCCGGCGCGGGTTCCCAGGGCCCCAGGGCCCTTCGGGGGGGGCGCGCCCGTCCAGGCCCCCCGCGCCCCCTGCCGCGCCGCCCCGCGGGCGGGGGTCTCAAGGGGGCGTGCCGGGCGGGGACGTCGGGAGCCAGCCGGGGGCGCGCTCTCCTGTCTGACTGGCTGCAGGCGGCAGGGTTCCTGTCGCCTGCGCCTGCTCCTCGGCAGAAGTGGGATGGGTGAAGAAGGCGGGGGAGGGTCCACCCGGCGACCCCCCTGGCTTGGAAGCCGGTGGAGCGCCGCGCGGGCGGGGACCCCCGGCAGCCCCGCTTTGGGCTGGGCGCTGCGCGGTGGGAAACTCTTTTCCTGCCGCCTTGCTGGATGTGGCAGCGGTTGGCTGTTGGCTGCTGGCTGGCGTGCCCGGCCCTGCCACCCGGCAGGGCGCCACCATGAGGAGGGCAGCCGGCCGGGCAGGGGGACCCCTTGACCCTCCTTAGCCCTCCCTCCGAATCCTCCTCCGCCTCCTCCGCCTCGTCCTCCTCCTCGTCCTCCTTTTCCTCCCCCTCCTCCTCTTCCTCTTCCTCTCCCTCTCCCTCTTCCTCTTCCTTTTCATCCTCCTCCTCCTCCTCCTCCTCCCCTTCCTCCCCTCCTGTTCCTCTCCTCCTCCTCCCTCCTTCCTCCTCCCCCTCCTCCTCCTCCTCCTCCTCCTCCTCCTCCTCCTCCTACTCCCTCCTTCTCTCCTCCTCCCCTCCTCCTTCTCCTCCTCCTCCTCCGCTCTCGCCTCATCCTCCTATTCCTCTTCCTCCTCCTCATCCTCTTCCTCGTTTTCCTCCTCCTCGTTTTCCTCCTCCTCGTTTCCTCCTCCTCTCCTCCTCCTCCCTTCCTCCTCCTCCTTCCTCACTCCTCCCTCCTCCTCCTCCCTCCTCCCTCCTCCCTCCTCCTCCTCCCTCCTTTCCCTCCCTCCTCCCTCCTCCCTCCTTTCTCCTCCCTCCTACGTCCTCCCTCTTCCGTCTCCCTCCTCCTCCTCCTCCTCCTCCTCCTCCTCCTCCTCCTCGTCCTCCTCCTCTCCTCCTCCGCCTCTTCCGCCTCCGCCTCCGCCTCCGCCTCCGCCTCCGCCTCCGCCTCCGCCTCCTCCGCCTCCTCCTCCTCCTCCGCCTCCTCCTCCTCCTCTTCCTCCTCCTCCTCCTCTTCCTCCTCTTCCTCCTCCCTTCCCCCCCCTTCGCAACAGGACGAGCTTGAGAGGCGGGAGGGCGGGGCCACCCCCCTGGCGGTCCGTCGGAGCCCGCGATGGCGCCGTCCCTGTGTGGTGACGACCTCGGTGGCGCGCTCGGGCCGCTCCGCGGCCGCGTGTTCCGCCCAGGGTTGTCATCGTCATCGGCGTTGGCGTCGGCGTCGGCGGTGCGGCATCGTCTTCGTCGTCGTTGTCGCTGCCGCCGTCGTCGTCGTCGCCCACATTCTGCTGCCTCCTCCATCATCCTGCTGCAGCTTGTCAGCGTTCGCTCTTATCCGCCTGCCGTGCCCGCGGCCTTCGTTTCCTCCCCCCCCGCTCTTCGCTTGCCGCCTCGCGTCCCGCCGCCGTCGCCCGCGGTCGCTCCGCCCTTCCTCTCCCGCCCGTTGCCCGTTGCCTGCCCTTGTCTTGCCCCGCTGGTCCCGCCGCCCCCCTCTGCCAACGTCTCTCGCTCTGTCCTTCTGCTCCTAGCCCTTTCGCCGCACCCTGCCATGCTCCACCTACTCGAACCAGCGCGGCGCAAAGCGCACGCTCGCCGAGGAAAGCGGCGGGCCCGTTTGTCAAGAGAGCCGCCCAGGGGAGCCAAGAACTCCGCACGGACCTCCGAATCTGTATGTTGGCGTTTTTTTCTTCGAGCATTGGACTATCCGTGGACGCTGATGTTCCCCAAAAACTACAGAAAACCACCGATCCGGCCCCCCCCCCCCCCCGGAGCTGCGTCCGCACCACACGACGGCGAGCGAGCAGCTGCGTTAAGACGGGTCTTCCTGACTCCACTCCTGTTCTTCCTGCCCTTTCTCGTTGAGTGTGGCTCCGTCGGACCAAAACGCCTGTGGAGCTAGCCGAACAAAAATGGGTGAGCCAGCAGCCTGCGCACCAACAAAAAAACACACTACTCCCTCTACCTCCTTCTCCCGCCCACTCCCTCTCGTACCCTTCCTCCTCCCTCCTCCTCCTCCTCCTCCTCCTCCTCCTCCTCCTCCTCTCCCTCCTCCTCCTCCTCCTCCTCCTCCTCCTCCTCCTCCTCCTCCTCCTCCTCCTCTCTCCTTCCTTCATTTCCTTTTCCTTTTCCCCCTCCTCCTCCTCCTCCTCCGCCTCCTCCTCCTATTGTTGTTCGACCGACCTGAGCGTGTAGCTGTGGCATTGATGATGGCGGATGAAAAGGAAGAGCGACCCGGGTCAACAAGAACACCTGGCGGGCGCCGCGGAAGATGAAAGAGAAGGAGCGATGGGCGCGACCATCAGTGAGAACAGGCGCCCGCCAAGCGTGACGGCACTAACCTTAAATGGGTGCAGCAGCAGGGACGGAAACAACTAGGAAAACATGTAACCAGGTGAGTTAGACACCTTAGATCCATGATGAGCGGCGTAGTGTTACAAGGCAGTGCCGCGACCGCCGCGCGTAAGAGAAGTGGCACGAGAGGTACTGTGCAGTTCTGGGGTTGCTGCCCAGGGTTTCGGCGTACCCCAAGCCGTAGTGCATTTCCGCTCCATCCCCCCGCCTGTGATACCCCCCGGCAGCCCTCCCCGTCGTTTTGTTTCAAAGCTTGCCTGTGGTGCTAGCGTGTCCTGCGTGAGAGCGGCAGTGCACAGTAGCCGGATGATACAGGCTGAATAACAATAGCAAGTCTTGCGATGATGCCCATGCTGTGATCGGACAATACTGGCAGCACTAGAGCCCGAACTGTGGGCCGGGGTTTCTGGTTGACACTAAACCTTGTATTATCCTACGTATGCCCACCGCTCCACCACCTCTCCGCAGTCACCTAAGCTGTCTTCCAGTGCCGAAGAGACATGGAAGTGTGGCAAGTCTAAGGATGCCGTCCAAAGTTTGTGAGCTCACCCTGAACCGCATCGGCACTGGGGCCCTCGTGCTGTTCGTATACTTCTTTTCGGGCTTAGCACGAACCCAAGAGTCCAGCAGGATCGTCGTGCGATCGGTGTCGCAGGCGGGCCTTTAAGGCTGGCCTATGGGGTACAAGAGCCCTATATGCGGCTGGGAGCTGCCAAGGCGCCATACGTGGGCAGACTGCTCAAGTACAGCCTGGTGCCGCAAAACATTGGAGTTTGCTGCCTGGTCTGATGCGATATGTGTATATATATCTGTAAACTTATATACATATATATATATGTGTGTATAAGCGGTACTGCTGAAGTGCTGCTGGTACTCTGAGGCTGGGCGTATACAGCCTCCGATGTATTCTCATTGGTTTTCTGTGGGATCGGGAAGTGGCGCATTGTCGCCAAAGTGCTGCTGCCAAATTGTGGTCCGAGGCAAATGGATTCTGCGCTGCAAAATGGGGCGTAGTGTCGACAAAGTACAATACAGTTGGTCGAGACGAGTAGATGGGGCGCTATGGGCGTCCATCAAAGTCAGCCCTGTGTGTCTAGCCGTAAGTAGATGCGGCAGTCACTGTGGCTTGAAGAATTGCTGCGCAAACCTAGGATTGCGACCCATGGTTTTGCTGGATATCCCCGAACCTGCAAGTGGGAGAATGCCACCATGCGTCTCGAAGCCGCGAGGGAAGAAGCAGGGCAAACAGCAGAACAGTGATGCGGGGAGACAGGGGCATGTACGAAAACATGTGCACTCCTAGGGCTGCGGCCCAGGGTGTTGCAGGATAGCCCCAAACCTGCACGAGAGCGCCTCCACCCCCACCTCCGCCTACCACCGCAGAATCACAAGAATGGGACGGTGGTAGCTTTGTTGGGTCTATAGCAACAACCTGTATCGAATGACAACGTCAGTCAAGGGAACAATTGGTGTACAAGGTGCTTCCAGACGTGGGTGTGCATGCTGATGCCTGCGCCGATGCCTGCAACGGTAGGAGGGAACGTGCCACTAGGTACTAAGCCGATGCGGCCAAAAAGGAGGTGAGTGCACGAGCAAGTTATAACGATAGGGGCAGCTCGCTGTGCAAGAAAGGTCGGCCTTGGGTGTCTAGCCGTAAGTAGATGCGGCAGTCACTGCGGCTTGAAGAATTGCTGCGCGAACCTAGGATTGCGACCCATGGTTTTGTTGGATACCCCCGAACCTGCAAGTGGGAGAATGCCACCATGCGTATCGAAGCCGCGAGGGAAGAAGCAGGGCAAGCAGCAGAACAATGATGCGGGGAGACAGGGGCATGTACGAAACCATGTGCAATCCTAGGGCTGCGGCCCAGGGTGTTGCAGGATAGCCCCAAACCTGCACGAGAGCGTCTCCACCCCCACCTCCGCCTACCACCGCAGAATCACAAGAATGGGACGGTGGTAGCTTTGTGGGGCCTATAGCAACAGCCTGTATCGATTGACAACGTCAGTCAAGGGATCAGTTGGAGTACAGGGTGCTTCCAGACGTGGGTGTGCATGCTGATGCCTGCGCCGATGTCTAGGTGAGTGCACGAGCAAGTTATAACGATAGGGGCAGCACGCTGTGCAAGAAAGGTCGGCCTTGGGTGTCTAGCCGTATGTGAGTGCGGTAGTGCACCAAGCCTGTAGCGTTTATGCGCAAGTCTAAGTCTGCGACGCAGGGTTCTGTAGGATAACCCCAAACCTGCGAGTGAGAGGGAGCCACCAATCGTGCCGAATGAATCGCGACAGAGAGAAGGAGGCTGTGCAGCAGGACAGCGATGTGAGAAGGCTGAGATTTCGTGTGAACAAAATGTGCAATCCGAGGGCTGCGACCTAGGGTGTTGTAGGATAGCCCCAAACCTGCAAGAGATGGAGCGCCACCATCGCGTCGAAAAGCCGCGAGGGGAGAGGAGGAAAGGTGTATTGCAGGTCAGTGGTCTGTCTTGACGGTCTGACTGCGGGCGTGCCTGTATCTACCATGTCAGGTGGGGTCCATCTGCGGTAGTTGGACGGGAGGAGGTACTGATCGTGAATGTCGTGGTAGACTATAGTATTCCCCAGAGCTGGTTTTAGTCGGTCGACATGTCGTTTACGCAGGCTAACCCGCGTTGGTGATCGTCGGGCCTGGGAGTGGCCTCGTGCAGTGTTACCATGTACTTGGGCGGCGGCTCCCTGAATGGCGCTCCTGCCGTGTGTTCATGTAAGCTAATGAGGTGTCTCTCGTAGCGCGTCTGGTACGTGCGGAGCCTGGCGATGTAGTCCTGGAACGTAGGGTCTCCAATCTTGTTCAGAAAGCTGATGCGTCGGGTGAAGATGTGGATCTGGTGCTCACCTCGTCGTGCTGCTTCGTGGTGTGTTGCGATTGCTTGTCCTGCGGTCGTCGGGGAGTAGGTGTGCCGCGTCGCCAGCGTTTGTGGTGCCAACTGTCGCGATGGTATATATATATATATTGTATCCATTGTTGGGCGTTGATGTCCTCGTCTGGTGGGTAGATGATCGGTATTTCGAATGCAGGTGGTGGTTCGTGTACCGGAGTGAATGGCTGTGATGGTGACCATTTGATCATGATGGCGAACGTGGGTGAGGACGTCCCTGGTGATGTTGTTGCGCTGTTGGTCTTGGGCGTGGTCAGTGGCTGTTGTGCTGTCTGGTTGGCTTGTTCGATCAGGTGAGCTGGTGGTGGTTTGTAGGGTCTCTAATGGGTCGCAGTCGTGATGGTCGTGGCTGTTTTGCTGACGTGTATCTTCGGTATGGGTTTGCATGGGATCGTATGTTGTTTTGGTTGTGTGTGGGAGTGCATGGTGAACTAACTGTTTTGTGGTTACTGGTGGTGTCGGGCCACTGGGTTTGTTGAGCTGCTGCACAGGTTGGAGCTCTGCTGCGTTGTCGTGTGCGGCGTCGGCTGTTTTGGTCGGGCTCGTTGGGGTGTCGGGTGCGTCCCATGATGGCGGTAGCGTGGGCGCGAATGGTTTGGGTCTGCTGAGTTATGATGATGGTGGTGGTTTGGTTGGAATTTGCTGCGTCTGTTGTAGGGTGTTGGTGTTGGTCTTCCTGTTGGTGGAGCTGTCGCTGTCGCCGTGCTTGTTGGTGGTGTGTCTCCTTGGGTCAGTCCGGTTGCAGATGAATTGTAGTAGATGGGCTGCGTCGCGTATGCATACTGCCCAGTCGTACTTCATGATGTCGTGTTCGTCGTGGCACGCGTTGAACCATTGGGCAACTTCTTATACGGAGGCCATTTTGACGTTGTCGAGCG